AAAATGGAGTATAGGCATCCTGTAAAAGGAGTTTTGGTTATAAAATATAATTTCTGTTGGGACTACATGTTACATTGTTACAGTACTTTGAATTCTGTTCATCTGCTAACTCTCGGCAGCGTGACTGCAATGAATTTTGCATAAAATGGCATGAGATATTAATGATTTGGATATTAACCTGCTCGTGCAGATTCCTCTTGCCCGATATCTGCCAACATGGAGAGGAAATGTTATAGATGCAAATCTAGAGATGAACCCATCACGAGTTGTTGGCATGTCCCTATCTGTCAATGCAGAAGGTGGAATTCCTGATGCTAGATCTGGCCCTGGTGATTTCCAAGTTGAAATTGACTGGATAAAGGCATTGAGAATGCAATAAATTAACAGAAGTCATTTTTCAGAGGGCACTAAACAATCTTTGGGAAGACGGTCATTTTTTGTTCATGTGCTTCTGTTTTGATGTATAATCATCATAAAGAGAATACAAAACCTAAGTTTGATAATTTTGTGGCGAGTACTTAAAATTTTTTGTAACTGGGAATTCCGTAGACTAATTTTGTCTAAAAACTATAACATGAGCATGTATGAGAACTGTTTATAATCGATTTAAATTATAAATATATAGAAATGAGTAATAGGAAAGTTACTCAAGTATTCATAAAACAATGATGGAATTCATGTAAGAAGATCAGATGGCTACAAAACGAAGTTGTTTTCTTGGAAATTAACATGTGGCAGACATGAATATCAAATGTAGTGATTACCATTCAATTAAAATGAAAAAGGAAAAAGGCCACATATGATTGTAAATGATTGATGGGTGCTCATAATGCTTCATTGTTGTCTTTTGTTGCCACCATTTTCAATCTGTTTATTATTATATTAGCTCAGGAAGACTTGATGCTTTTGAAACCGCAAAAACTTTCCTTTTAATGACAAAATAAAAAAGGGTTTGTACCCTGCCATCTGTCCAGTTAGAGCCATTAAATTTTGAATTTGGGATGACAACTGGACATGATGATGACTTCCTCCCTCCCACGTTTCACTGAAGATTTTGAGGGAGTTGTACAAAAATTAAAATATTCTTATTTTTCGATTTACTCATGAAGTGATGAATTCATCCATACAAGTAGTAAAGAATCACATTACAAGTACATATATTTTTTACGAGAAAGTTTTACATATAATACTTGACAGGAATTCATTGGAAGGTGAAAAAAAAAATAAGATGCTAACAAGACAGAGTTAAGCTAAATGTACAGAAAATAGATTGATAGAACTCTTACCATCTCTCACATGAGGTGGGTCTCATGTGGGACCGAGCTCATTAAAAAATGGATAAAAAATTTTCCGACGGCTTAATTCATTAATAAATTTGGAATCCAGACTAATCTGAAAGAAAATTTAAATATTAAAAAAAATAAGAATCGAAAGGGACCATGTACTTTATTCCTATCACAATTTCCTAACTAAACAAATAGGGAGGACTACAGTTCAAGACGTTTTTTTAATAAAAAAAATAGAAATTGAGACTTTGATTTAGTTAAAAATAATTTTTTTTAAATTTTTGATAAATGTTAATGAAATGAATAATTGAAAATTTGATAAAATTTGTTAAGCCCCTGTTTGATGATTAAAATTAGATTTTTAGTAAATTTTAATAAAAACTAATGAAATATGTTGTTGAAAAATTATGAATTTCATGTAATATGTGGTTAACATTAATTTTTAATTTTAACTTAAATTAAAATTAAAATTCCTATCAAAGAGGAGTTAAATATGTGATTAAAAATGTATTTGAGAAAAAATAATAATTTTTTGGAAAATGAGACCGAGGCTCACTATTCTATAATTTCTATTTCCAAAAGCAATTAGCTCCATGGGCACTATCGTCAGTTCAAATACCTAACAGTTGTCATTTTGAAACAAAATGATTGTCTGAAGCGCAATAACAGTATCAACAACATTCGACGTCAATCTTCCTTCTCCGAAACAGAAATGAGTGGAGCAAAATCTAGGTCTTCAGCTTACAACTTAAAAACCCCAAACCCCTGCCATTATCGAACACCAGAAATTTTTTGAATGAAATTAATTTATTGATAATCAACTTAACAAAATTATCTGAGTTGCTGTTCGGATTTTAACTTGTTCCGATGATGGGAAACGAAGAGCTTCGCGTTGACATTCACAGGGTCAGTTGTCTTATTGTTAATAATAGAATTCGAAGTAACTTTTTTTTTTTCACATTTTTGTAATTGGTCGTAATTGGATCATGACGATGCTGCAGAAGCAAATGCTTAGCATTTGATTGTGGTTATCTTTAAATCGAATCTGAGTGAATTTTGATTTTGTCTTCTTTTATTTATTTATTTGTTTTGCTTTATTGTTTTACTTGCCCCTGTTCTTTGGTTGGATTGTCTCTGTCTTTGTCTTTGGTGAACCCTCTCAATTTTAGGCATATTTTCAAATGATAATATATTTAACTGATAACTTTTGTCTACTAATGTTCACTTTATTCAATTGCCTTATTTTATCCAGATACATGCTTACTTTTGGAAATATATTTCTATTATTTGGATTATGGTGAAATCTCTTTATGGAGAGCATCTATAAGTTAAATTTTTCTATGCTAAGTATTACTATATTTTGATATGTTCCGAGATTACAGGGTATGGGATTGCATATGTAAAATAAGACTAGGGAAATTTTGTGTTCCCTCAGTAAAACAATATGAAGTCAGATACGCCTCTGGACTATGCTGTACTCCAGCTGTCACCTAAGCGCTCACAGTGAGGAAATTTAATTGATATGATTTACAATAGTTTTGCCATAAATGCTCAACTCGTATAGATTCTCAGTTATTTATTCTTCTTGGTCAGATGTGATCTTTTTGTTTCTAGTGGTGCAAATACCGAGAAACTTGCCTCGGGATCAGTTAAACCATTTGTTGTGCATTTAAAGATTGCAGAGGAACAAGTTGCATCGGCTGTTGAGTTAGTTAAGCTTGAAGTTGGGAGATGTAAAAATGTGAAAACATGGTTCACGAAGGGAACACTTGAGAGGTAGTTCCATTTGCAACTCAAGAAGGAACTTATTTGCAATATACATTAGTTTTAGTATATTTGGCAATTCTTATTTTCAGGTTTGTACGGTTCATAAGTACACCTGATATTTTGGAACTGGTTAATACATTTGACGCCGAGATGTCTCAATTAGAAGCAGCCCGAAGAATATATTCAGAGGTATTTATTTGTGCATCGCTTATAAATGTTCATTTTGTAGTGTTATTATTGGGATATACGCTAAATTACTCTCCATCAATTTCAGGGATCATGGGATTTGCTTTCTGGTATGGACTTGTTTCATTTCTCATTGTCAGTTTATGTGGCCGATTTTCCTTTTTATCTTGATTTCCAATGAAAATTTGGATATAGCAAATCCAATGATCAATACCATGACGTATACTTTTTGCTGTTTCAATATTGTTTCCAACATTGAAATGCAGTTTATTGCGATTCCCAAAAAGCAAAAAAGAAATACTGTTTGTTACTATGCACTAACTTATTAGTTACTATATTCTTGAACAAACATTTCTGCTTTAATTGGGGAGATGACCCTGATGGAATGGAGTAGGAGAAATTTTTGTAACACTGAATTGGCATTTTATTTTCCTGCATCTCTGCTTATATCTTTTGAATCTTTGTTTCTGATAAACAGTAGAATAGTTGTTGACCTTGCTCCTAAAGAAACCCACCCACGAGGAAAAAGTGCTAAAAGAACATATCATGCAAGGTTGAAATTCTCTTATCAACATTTCAAAGGATATGCCTAAAAATATTTCTTGATCTACTTTTTGAATATAGTGGGAAAAATTAAATTTGTGCCTTCTATATGACCTCCTATGCAATTGCTGCCTTTAGTATTGATCTTAATTAGTAGACTTCACTGGTCTAGACGGTGAACATATAGTTGTTGACGGACATGTCTATCCAGACTTGCCAACTTTGAGAAAATGAACAATGTGTCTGCCTGGGTGTTTCTTGACAAACTATCAATGCCAATTAAGGATTAGGCTTTGCAGACACTGTTGTTGTCCTTGCTCCTTAAATAGTCAACTGAACTAGCTATATTTTGTTTTACTTATTACAAAGGCTTCTAATGTTGAAGTGCATTAACAAAAAAAAAAAGTTTAAATTTTGTTCCCAACAACCTTGAAATTGGTTATATGAATCTTTTGTCACAGTTTTGTGCAATTCAGACTTGCCTCTTTCGAGGGTTCCTTTCTTTTAATTACTCGTAGCTGGAAATATGTGGTGTAATCTTGACATTATTTTATTTTTTTGATGTTAGAGGATCTTATCCTCTTAATAATTGTAGATACACTTCTATAACTAATAAAACTGCATTTTTTATAAAAGAAAATTCATACTCAGGCTGGAGTAACATTTCTGTCTGACACTAAGTACTGTATGTTTTATATTTATGATTGAACCATGTTGTCCTTGTTTGTCATGAACAGAATAGAAACTTGCATTTATCACATCCAGCTGAAGCTTTTGTGCAACTTTCCAGATCTTAATTTAGTTCTGTCTGTATGTATTTTTCGTGAATCTCTTGTTTGCCAAACATTTCTATATGTTTGGTATGATCACCCGCTTTCCCCTTGTCTATCTTTATTCTGACAGGTGGGTCTGGGGTGACAGCTGCCGATGATGCGACAAAGTATTACCTCCTCTCTCTCTCTCTCTCTCCCCACCCCTCCCGCCCTTCTCTCCTCGTTTGAACTATTTTTCTGGGGTGATGATTGATTATGGCAAATATAATTCTTTGCGATATTCACCTTCTTCTGGTGGTGGCGTAGTAATTTGTGCAACCATAAGATGGTTTACAGCTTCTAGCCTGGCTTTGGAGGCTTTAGTTTTGTGACTAAAAGTTATATTATGACTTGAGTAGTGGAAATGCCCTTTTGGTCATATACTCCATTGATTAGGTGGTGTTTTGTTTGAAAACTTGGGGAAATTTGAGATCACCCTGTGTAAATTTGTTTGCTGTGAATCTTTAGATTAATAGAAAGACTTTTTTAGCAAGCATAATGTTCGTGGATGAAAGCATATATATACAGGTTCTCTTCACTCATAAAAGGCTTTGTGCTTTAGTTGAAACAATCGTATATGATGCTGCAATCTAAGAACTCTCAGCATTAATGTCTTGAGAGGCCTTATTGTCATCCCCCCCCCCCCCCCCCCCAGGCCTTATTGTCATCCCCCCCCCCCACCCACCCACCCTGGGGGAATTGTTTATGATATCCTGGTCCTTCTCGTTTCTCACTGCTACAGGAAGGAACTACTGAGAGCCATGGATGTACGACTTGTTGCGGTTAGGCAGGAATTATCAGCAGCTTTTTCTCGTGCTGCTGCATCTGGTTTCAATGTTGACACAGTCTCAGAGCTTCAAATATTTGCAGATACATTCGGTGCTCATCGCCTGAAGTAAGAACTCATAAAATTATTGGTACTTTCACAAACGGAGCTCTGGAATATCCCATCCCCGTGTTTATCTGATGTGTGCCTGCACTTGATGCTTATATGTGCACGTGTTGTATGAGTTTGTGCAGGCACAAATGCAAACTAAAAGAACGAGGTAAATAGCATAACAACTAAAACATAAAGCACACGTTGTGTTAGAAACATGAGCTTGCACAGGGCGTGTCCCTGTGTTCTTGAATTTAGTACACATAGGTAATGGAAGGGAGGGATGCGTGGGGTTTTAATTTTATTGGATTTTTTATTTGCTCGGACTGAAGTGTTCATCAACTATGAGGGATAAAAAAAAGCGTAGACAAGGGCGTTGAGGAAGATACTTCTGCCAGCTGTCTCCCATTATTCCATGGGGAAACTCATGCAATTGGTAATCTGATTTTAAAATTAGTCATAATTGAGTAGAAATGGACTTGACTCCTCTGAAATTGCCTAACTTGGACACAGTCGAGACAACTCAACAGGGGTCAAGCGTTCTTTTAGGAGAATGTTGTACTCGATCGAGTCAAGACTACTCAACTACATGGAAAGGGACTAGATATCTGAATTTGGTCCATCTCAATCCTTGTTGAGCGGGGGTTTTTATTTTGAAAAATTCTAAACGAGGCCATTCAAACCTCATTCTTTCTCGACATACGTTATTCTATACAAGGCGAATGATATTTAACATTAATTTAACACCAGTCACTTGTTGAAAATATTGAAATTTTGTTTTGGGGAAAAGAAACTGGGGAAAGAGGAGATAATGATGTAGAAAACAGGTGAAAGAAAAATTAGAGGGAATAACTTTCACCACAGATAAGGCTGACACATGTATTAGGGGTCGTATAGCCAAAGGATGATTAAAAATGCTAAAGAAGGCTGCTAAAATATAAGTTCTCAGAACATTGATAAGTTATTATTGTTACCTTTATAGTGCTATTCGCCTCAATTTCCCTACTTCTAATTAACAATATAACCTGGACCTCCTCAGCAGGGTGGGCATGGTTTACTAAAAGAGATGTCGAATCAACATAATAAATGGGAAAAGATCATTACCATAATAAATAAGCTTCTTGTTACTATTAGAATCCCACATTGCTTGGGAAAATATTAATGATCCACTTAATAAGGTGATGGCAATTCTCCCATAATAAGCCGGTTTTATTAGGTGGAGTTAGACCCAAGATTCCTAACATGGTATCAGAGCCCATTAAACTCTAACGAGCAATTCGGTCGGATTAAGACTCCAAAAGTGAGCATACGGATTTCAAGATTGGTCTGCTCAAACGAGCCACCATCTTGTGGGGGCATGTTAAGGGATATAATCCCACATCGAATAAAGATATAAACATAAACCAACCTACAAAGGATTGGGTTACTCCTCTTAATAAGGTTGACCTTTTAAGATGGAACTCCAATTCTTAACATGGTATCAGAGCCTACCACAGGATTAATGTGGGTCCACACTACTTACCCCGTGACAAGGACCAGAAAAAATTACTGGTCTGCACGTGAGGGAGGATGTTAGAAATAAATCCCACATCGCCTGTGGACAATATCTTGGGCCAGTTTATAAACAATGTGGCAAAACAGAGTTTGACCCCTCTCCGGCCATCAGACCTCCAGACGCGCCTGACCGGCGGCCTGTGCAGGCATTTCCGACGCCGGGGGGCGCCTCTCCGGCGCCGGACCT